CAGAGCAGGGGCATGATCTGTGTTCTTTTTATTAAAATGTGCTCCCACGATTGTGTTCTTTCTGTTAACATGTAATAAAGTTTCTGTTTTCCTTTCAGGTTGTTGCTGTTGAACAATAGTGTACAACGTGTTCACGGGGTGGAGGGGGCGGGTTGTGGGACAGCGGGGTGACTATGAGTCAGACAGAATGGACATCACCTAACACCACCAACAAGCTGTTCCTGGTCTTGTAACTCCCACAAAATGATTGGATGGGATTATGCAAGTCAGGTGCTATAGACCAAGTAAGGAGCAAATAGCCCACCAAGGGGATTAGGTAACCTGCTGTTTATGCCACCGAGGTGCATGAAATCCTCATGGAGGTGGACGTTGTCAGGTGCCATCAAATACGTGCTGACTCATAGCGACCCCGTGTGCAACAGCAAGAAACGCTGCCTGGTCCTGCGCCGTCTCTACAGTCCTTGCTAAGTGTGAGGCCGTCGTTGCAGCCTCCGCAGCAATCCTTGTCTTTGAGGTTCTTCCACTCTTTTGCTGACCCTCTACTCTACCAAGCACAGTGCCCTTCTTCAGGGATGGGTCCTTCCTGATCTTGTGCCGAAGTATGAGAGACAAGTCTCACTCGCCTCACTTCTTTAGTGTTAGTAAATGAAATAGTTAAAGTTTATTGTGCCAACCTGGCCGATAAACACATGTGGGGTTAATTGAAGGGCGGAGAGATAAATGGCTCCGTGAGCCTTGCCTTTCTAGTTCTCGGGTCTCTTGCTTTGTGATGATCGGACCAGGGTGCGGCTGCCTTAGCCATATCCCTGTTTTAGCTAGCAAGGCTCACTTCCTGCAAGACATCCCTGAGGAGAAGCCACATGGACCTACCCCAATGCAGCCCTGGATGCTGGAGCAGCCATGTGGAGGCCCCTGCCAGCACTGAGATACTTACACATTCACTGACTCGGCTTTCCTCCTGCAGTTGGCATCATTGTGTGTGTTTTGTGAGATAGAGGAGGACTTTGTGGATTGGTGTCAGACATAAGGGTTAATGTTGGACTTGTGGGCTTGGGTAGCACTGGGCTGGAATGTTTTCTTGATGTGCACTTAACCTTTATATAAAACTCTCTTATACATATGAGTTTCTGTGGATTTGTTTCTCAGATGTACCCAGACTAACACAGTAGATCAGTGTCTTAGTATATGCCAGTATATTAGTATATTAGAATATCTGCCTGGACTTATTCCAAGACAGATTTGCTCACGCTTCTGGAAACCCAGGTGAGAGTCAAGATTCCTCACCAACACCGTAATACAAAGGCAATGATTCTGATTCCGTTTTCTTTATTCATTGTCCAAGGTGCACATGCATGCACGGTGACTGGTTAGGACAGCTTCTTGGTTGAACCCAAAGGCAGACCTCACTTTTGGTCCCTCAGTCCTTGGCCCTTGGCCCTACTATGGGCAAGTGCTACAGCTCTCTCTGTCACTTCACCAATGAGTACCTGGAGACACCCTACTTCCCCAGCAAGCTTCCTGACTTGCCTAATAACCCCTAACTGTGAATAGGGTCTCTAAGTTGTGTGTGGTCATTGCAACAAATGAGCAAACCTAACTGGAATGTAGAGTGCCATGGGAGGGTTGTATAGGAATAGGTAAAAAAGGTGGGAGAGGGATGGTATGTCTGGCCTCCACCTCTTAGAAATCAACCTGGGGCTGATGTTGATTCTGATTCCCGTCCCTCCCCCTGTATGACGTTAGAGGAGGCCTGATGATGCCACTAACTCCCCCTCCCCACAAGACCCAAACCCCTGCCATTGAATTGATTATAATTCCTAGTGACCTCAGGGAGAGTTCCAGAGACTGCCAAGCAGGCAGCGTCATCTTCCTTCTGAAGAGTGACTGGTGGTTTAAAATGCTGACCTTGTGATTAGCAGCCCACCAGAGACCCTGCAGCGACACAAGGTCTCCCTAATGATGTCCTGAGTGCACCATAGTTATAGGGCCCATGCACCCCAGGACCGGGCCGCTGTGATTCATAGAATTTTCATCAGCTGACTTGAAGAAATATATCTCCAAGCCTTTCTTCTTAGGCTGTCTTAGTCCTGGAGCAATGTAGAATGTGTTCTGCATCACAGGAACGTGTGAGCCTTCATGCACAAACGGACAGTAGCTGTACATGTGGTATATTGGCCAAAGTTCAAAACCTGGGGTCTCCCTTATCAAACAAAAGCCAAGCCCACTGCCAATGAGCCAGTCCGCACTTAGAGCCCCCTCCCTAGGATTCCTGAGGCTCTTTATCTTTACCGGATCAGATAGCCTCATCTTTCTCCCAAGAAGCAACCAGTGGGTTTGAGCAGATGATTTTGTGGTTATCAATCGGATGCTGTGGTAGTTACATAATTTCATGTCAACTCGAAGATATGTGTAAGTGTAGGGGGTTCTTCAACCTGTCAACC